TGGACCACCCCCACCACCACCACCCCCACCATCATCACCACCCTCATCATCATCATCATCAGCAGCAGCAGCAGCAGCAGCACCATCATCATCATCAGCAGCAGCAGCACCACCACCACCACCACCAGCAGCACCAACACCACCACCACCAACAACAACAACAACAACAACAACAACAACAACAACAACAACAACAACATCATTATTTCCCTACAGCAGCAGTATACAGATAGGTCGTTTGCTGTTTCTGTCTGAGCATTTACTGCAGCAGTTATTGCAGCAAGTAACACCATCAGCAGCAGCAAGAGAAGAAAAGAAGATGTTATATAATACATTAGCACATTTTGTATCATATGTATTAGGTAATACAGTAACATTACATCTAGCAGGTAGTACAGCATATGATGTTGATGCTCATGGTAGTGATCTAGATGTAGTACTTATTACTAGAGGTTATTATACTAATTCTGTTACATTATTACAACATCTTAGACAAACTATTATACATGTACAAAAACATCTACTTGCTAATTCATCTAATAATCCTAATCATCTTCTTCCTTCTCATGGTGGTGGTGGTCCTGTTCCTCCTCCTGCTCCTGCTGGTGCTGGTGGTGCTGGTGGTGGTGCTGGTGGTGGTGGTGGTGGTGGTGGTGGTGGTGGTGGTGGTGGTGGTGCAGCAACAGCAGCAACTGGTGGTAATACAACACCACAGATTGCTGCTGGGGATAATCATGTTACTAATACAGATAATAATACAACTGCTAATGCAGTAGCAGCAACTGCTGCTGCTGCTGCTGCTGTTGTTGCTGGTGCTGGTGGTGGTGGTGGTGGTTGTGGTACAACAGGATCATCATCATCATCGCATTACTCTCAACAGCAGCAACAGCAGCAGCAACAACAACAACAACAACAGCAACAGTACAATGCACATCATCATCTCCTCCCTCATCAACAGCAGCAACAGCAGCAGCAACAACAGCAACAACAGCATCGTCGTGAATGGCCACTCCTATTAGCTCGTCTGCAACTAGTAGAGAGTGCCCGTGTTCCTATATTAACTGTACGTACACCTGGAGGATCTGTTGTATGCGATGTATCCGTTAATACTAATAATAGTGTATGGCATAGCGAATTCTTTGGTTTGCTGCTGCAGCAGCAACCCCACCTTAGACCACTAATGCGTCTATTAAAAGTATGGCAAAGAAATAGGAAATTACCTACCATGAAGGAAGGAGGTCTTCCTTCTATTGTATGGATGATTCTTGTTGCTTTCTTATGCAAAACACAATATACACATAATACACATGCTGCTGCTGCTGCTGCGGCGGCGGCAGCCGCAGCTGCTGCTGCAGCTGGGGGTCCTGCTAATTGCTCTCATAATAATAACAGTAATTGCAGTAACAGCAGCAATGGGGGGAACAACAGCAATACTGATGGGAGTAACAGCAGCAGCAGCAGCAACAGTTGTAATGGGAGCAGCAGCAGCAATAATGTCCCAGATACACTTGCTGCTGCAGCACATATGCATAATATGCCTGCAGCAGCGGCAGCAGCAGCTGGTGGTGGTGGTGGTGGTGGTGGTGGTCATCATCCTTTACCTGCTGTAGAAGAAATCCAACATAGATATATGCTGCAGCAGCAAGCAGCAGCAGCAGCAGCAGCAGCAGGAACACCTGCAGCAGTAGGGTTCAAAGGCGAGCCAACATCATCAGCAGCAGGAACAACAACTGTTCTAGCGACGACTACTCCTACTCAATCAGCAGCAGCAGCTGCTGCTGCTGCAGCAGCTGCAGCAGCAGCAGCAGCAGATGGACCCAAGACATTATTAACACAACTATTAGGTATACCTGAGCCTGCTCTTGCTGCTCTCCATCCGTTGCTGCTGTCGTTGCTGCGCTTCTTTAGGGCATTAAGATCAAGAAGAAGTCTTAGTAAAACTTTATTTATTGTTGCTAATCCTGCTGCTACATCTGCTTCTGCTGCTGCTGCTGCTGCTGCAGCTGGCGGTACCGGTACCGGCAGCAGTAGTAGCACAGGAGCCGCTCATGCAACCGATTCTCCTTCAACAGGAGCAGGGGAAGTTGGTGCAGCAGGAGGCCCATCTGCTGCAGCAGCTGCAGCTTCTGCTGCTGCAGCTGCTGCTATGCTGCAGCAGCAGCAGCTTGTATCGGGTGCACCTAAGAATATGGAGGAGACAGCAGCAAAGATTCTCTCTGCTTATGGTCATGGGGGTGTATGGGAGTCTCTGTTATCTGTGTTTGATTCCCCTAGGGCATCAACATATGCTTCTTGTGCTACTACACCAGCAGCAGCAGCAGCAGCTGTTGCTGCAGTAGGCAGCACCACTCCCGCAGCGACGGCAGCAGAAGCAGCCAAGGCATATCTCCATAGACAACAGCAGCAGCAACAACAACAACAGCAGCAACAACAACAACAACAACAACAACAGCTGCAGCTAGCAGGCAGAACAGCAGGAGGTGCTGCATTACAGGAATTGTTACTCCCAGCCGATAGCGGTGCAACAGCAGCAGCAGCAGCAGCAGCAGCAGCAGCCGCAGCAGCAGCAGGAGCAGGAGGAGCAGGAGGAGCAAGTCCGCCTCCCCCTCCTCCCGTAGGTGTAGGTGGTGGAGTAGTAGTTGCTGCATCTGGTGTATCAGGAGGAGGATCAACAAGTGGTGTAGGTATATGTGGAGCATCAACAGGATCATCGATGTGTGTGAATCCTCCAGGAGTTGTAGCAGCAGCATTACGTGCATATGGTTGTCCAGCCGGTGTATCTCCAGCAGCAGCAGCAGCAGCAGCAGCAGCAGCAGCAGGTGTAGCTGGTGGTGATCCAACAATAGATATGGCAGCTAGAGTAAGTAGTGGTACTTGGCTAGTATATAGATACGAAATATGTCGAAGTAATTTTTTATTAGATAGTTATATTAAGGCATTATTTCGTTTCGCTTTATTACAGCAATTATTTCATTCTCATTGTGTAAGCCAACAGTTACAGATACGATTACAGCAGCAATTATTATTGCTGCAGCAAGAAAAAAGAAATAAATATACTAATATACCTCTCAATAATAATAATCATAATAATAATCATAATAATAATGGTAATTGTAATAGTCATAACAACAACAGTTGTACTACTAATGATAACAACAACAGTCATAATTCTCCAGCAGCTAACCTACCACAACAGGTACCTGCTGCGGCTGCAGCAGCTGCTGCAGCTGCTGCTGCTGCTGCTGCTGCTGCTGCTGCTAGTAAACTACCTACATTACCTATGGCACCACAGGAACTGCAGCAGGAACTCCATAGCATACGACGGGATTTGCTGCTGGGGGTTGCTGCTATATTCGAGGAGATACAAGATGATCGATACTTGCTGCCTGTGCTGCAGCAACCACCACAACCACCTGTGCCGCAGCAGCAGCAGCAAAGAGAGCCAGCAGTATCGCCGCCTTCTACATGGGCTGTCTCGTCCTACAGTGACAGCAGCAGCAGTAGCAGCAGCAGCAGTTGTTGCAGCAGCAGTGGGTCAGCAGCTACCGGAGGAGGATCAACAACAGCAGCAGCAGCAGGAGCATTGGATGCATCTGCTGCTGGGCATAATTCCTATTGTGATGTTGGCAACGCAACAGGAGATACAGCAGCAGCAGCAGGAGATGCATTATCAGCAACATCTGCAGCTGCTGCCGCAGCAGCAACAACAACAGCTGTAGGACCATCGCCCATCGCAACAACAGCAGCAACAGGAGCATCAACAGCAGCAGCAGCAGCAGCAGCAGGAAGTTCATTGGCATTAGAATTAGAATATTTATGTCCTGTTGGTAAGGAGGGCAGCACATTCCTTGTTGCTGCACTAGAAGGACATTTGCTGCTGCTGCGGTCGCACCGCTGCTGCCAAGAGGGGGGTTGGTGGTCAACAGAATTCCTATCAAGGAGAGATGTAAGGACAACAGTGCATGCAGATTTATTCTTGCTGCTCCCTCTGCAGAAGATACGACAAGCGCTGCAGTTCCCTTGCTGCTGCAGTAGCAACAACAATAGTAGCAGCAGTAGCAGCAACAGTACCTGTTGCTGCAACGGCAGCGGCTGCAGTAAATGCAGCAGCAATAGCTGCTGTGATGCAGCAGAAACCATAGTACCGTTTGTGGACGGTGTATCACAGCAGCAGCAGGAACAGCAGCAACAACAGCAGCAGCAGCAGCAACAAGAACAACAACAACAACAGCAGCAACAGCAACAGCAAGAGTGCAAATGTATGTGTCCTGCTCATGCCCAACTAGCACAAGTATTTGCTGAGCAAGAATCAGATCTAATGAGCAGCCGCTGCAGCGCAGAAGCAGCAGCAGCAGCAGATGATAATTGTACGCAGCTATTTGACTGCAGCAAAGGAGGAGCAGCATTTCTTCTTCCTGTTGCCTTGCGTGATATAACAAATGTATTATTTTGTCCATGTAATTTTGTTACTAGATTAGCTGTACTAAGGCCGCAGCAGCAGCTGCAGCAGCAGCTGCAGCTGCTGCATCAGCAGCTACTTACCCCGCTGCTGCCCCTGCTGCCCTCCTCTATAGCAGCAGAATGGTCAAGAGATAGTCTTAATGGGGGGCCCTTCTTGCTGCCATCAGCAGAGGTGTCTCGTCTTAAGACACTGCAGCGGATAGCAGCAACAGCACCATGGTGGCACTCGCGTGCGCAGCAGATTTATCAGCAGCAGCAGCAACAACAAATGCAACAAATGCAACAAATGCAGCAGCAACAGCATATGCAGATGCAGCAACAGCAGCAAATGCAAATGCAGCTACAAATGCAGCATTTAACGCCGCCGCATTTCCACCCGCATGCCCATCCGTCGCAGCAGCAGCAGCAGCAGCAGCAACAGCAGCAACAATCACAACAGCAGCAGCAACAGCAACAACAACAGCAACAGCAGCAGCAACAACAACAACAACAGCAGCAGCAGCAGCAGTATCTGCAGCAAAGGGTACCCCTACAGCCACTTGTTAAGAGATGCAGATACTGCAACTACAATGGTCTTGCTGCTGCTGCTGATTTAATTAAGAGTGTAGAGCAGACAGTATTTGCTGCGCTGCACCGCTGCTGCTGCTGCAGCGGTAGTCCTTTTCCCCCCGCACCTATACCTGCCGATCCTGCTGCTGCTGCTATTGCTGCTGCTGCTAGCAACAGCAGCAACATCAAACAACCCCTCAGCACCGAACAGCGGCACAAAGCGCTTGCTGCTGTGTCTGCATTCATTGCAGCAGAAGAGAGGTGCGAGGCAGCATTTGCTGCTGCTGCTACTGCAGCACAGAGCAGCAGCTGTATGGGGATGCTGCTGCAACAGCAACATCTTGCAGCACAGCAGCAGCAACAGCTCCTGGTGCAGCAACAAGCAGCTGCTGCTGCTGCAGCAAGACTGCATGCATCAGGCCTCTCCCGTGCTGCAGCTACACCGCAAGGGGTCTTGTCTGTTCTTTCTTCTTTTGTTGCTCAGCACCAGTTGTCTTCTTTAACACCGCAGCAGCTGCTAGTTCCTCCCTTCATGCAGCAGGTGCAGCAAATGCAGCAGCAGCTCCTGCAGATGCAGCAGCGCCTCATTGGCATGCCGCAACCACCGCGACTAGCCCAAACGCAGCAGCAAACGCAGCAGCAAACGCAGCAGCAGCACCTAATACTGCAGCAGCAACAACAAAGATACGCACACCCACTACCACCATACACCCAGCCGCAGCAGCAGCAGAACCATCTACTACAGCAACAGCAAACGCAGCAGCAGCAAACGCTGCAGCAGCAGCTTAAGCCGAGACCCCACCAGCAAGAACAACCCCACCGGAATGACCAGCAGCAGCAGCAGCAACAGCAGCAACTTGTGCTGCAAATGCAGCAGCACTACCCACAGCCGCACCATCAACAGCAACAAGGGCAGCAGCAGCAGCAGCAGCTACAGCAGCTCTACCGACCGCCTCGGTCTCTAACACTCGACAGCAGCAGCAACAGTAACAACAGCAGTAACAGCAGCAGCAACAGCAGCAGCAGCGGTTACACTGGCAGCAGATTCGAAGAGGGAACGTCCACTTCCGGCAGCAACAACAACAGCAGCAGCAGCAGCCGGACCGCATGCATGGGGAACATGACACCTGCTCAGGGCACGCAGCAGCAGCAGCAGCACAAGCAGCAGCAGCACAAGCAGCAGCAACAGCAGCAGGTGGTGCATGGAGAGGATAACTTCTCCTTGGAGCAGCCTCTGACGGAGAGGCGCAGCAGCCTCTACAGCTACAGCAGGAATAGCAGCAACCGCAGCAGCAACAGGAGTAGCCACAGCAGCAGCAACAGCACCAACAGTAATAGCAACTTGGCTGGGCATGCAGGCAGCCGGAGCAAACAGCCCCGCAGCCAGCAGCAGCAGCAACAGCAGCAGCAGCAGCAGCAGCTGGTAACACGCCGTTGGTGTGACAGTGTGGACGAGAACTCCGATGGCAGTTTCTCTGCCCCTCCGAAGCAGCAGCAACAGCAGCAGCAGGTGCTGCTGCTGCAGCAAGAAGAGCAGGAGGTTGCTGCTGGTGATGCTGCTGCTGCCGATGCTGCTGCTGCCGATTCCTCCTACCAGAGCAATTTAAGCGGCAGCAGCAGCACCGGCAATTGCAGCAGCCGCAGCAGCAAAAGAAGTAGTTTTGCTGCTCCAGCAGCAGCGATTAGCAGCTGCAGCAGCGAGGCCTCTGCGTCGCCGCATGCTGCAACTGCTGCAACTGCTGCACCAGCTGCTGCTACTGCTCCTGCTGTTGCAGAGAGTGAATCGGCTGCAGCATCAGAGGCAGCAGCAGCAGCAAGGAGGAGGCAGCCAAGAGATCGTATCCCTCTCAAGCATAGAGCAGAGAAGCAGCTGTATGTACCAGGGGCGTTGCGGCGGCAGCGGCAGGAGCTGCTGCAGGGGCCTGCTGCTGCTGCTGGGGGAGACCCAGCAACAGTTGCTTCTGCTGCTGCAGCAAGTAACAGCAGCAACAGCAGCAGCAGTGCCAGCAGCGCCTCTGGGCCTGCTTTTGTTGCTTCTGCCCCTGCTTCTGCTGCTCCCACTAACGAAGAAGTGCGCGAAGCTGCTGCGGCAGCAGCAGCACGGCGTGCTGCAGCAACAACACTTAGGAAGGAGGATTCACGGAGCAGCAGCAGCAGCAACAGCAGCAGGGACAGAGACATGTTGCAACAGCGGCAGTGGCTTGTTGAGCAAGTTCAATGGCGTGCGTTCAATCGCAATGCTGCTCCTGCTGCTGCAGCTCCAACAGGAGCAGCAGCCCCTGCAGCTGCTGCTGCAACAGCAACAACAGCAGCTCCAGCAGCAGCAGCTCCAGGAGCATCAGCAGTTCCAGCAGCAGCAGCAGTTCCAGTAGCTGCAGCAGCGGCGTCTGCGTCGTCCCCTTCCTCGGATTTGGGAGGTGCGTGCGCAAGAGCAGAACATGCAGCAGCAGCAGCAGCAGAATCAGTAGGAACTAACTCTGGTGCTGCTGCTGCTGCTGCTGCAGACCCAGCAGAATGCAGGAGACGCAGCTCAAGGGGAGAACGCAGTGACCCGTGTATCCGTGGCAGCAGCAGCAGCAACAACAACGATGGCCAGCCACGGAGCAACAGCCATTCAGCCACAGTTGCTGTTGTTCCTGATGCAGCAGCAGCAGCACCTGCTGCAGCAGTATCAGAACCTGTAGCAGCATCCGCAGCACCTGCAGCATCGGCAAGTGCAGCAGCGGCACCTGCAGCACTTTCAGATGCAGCAGCAGCACCTGCAGCAGCCGCAGCAGCAGGACAACCAGTGACACGTTTGCAGTCGAACACAAGCGAAGACAGCAGCAGATGGAGCTGCAGCAGTCCTTACAGCAACAGCAGCAGCAGCAGCAGCAGAAGCGGCAGCACCCGACCCCTAAGAAGCAGCACTTCCCGTTTAGGTGGCAGCAGCAGCAGCAGCAGCAGCAGCGCCAACAAAGGCCAAATGAGGCTGCTGCATGTGGCTCTCAATGGCATGCGTCGCTGCGACAGAAGCAAACCTAGCCCTACGCAGCAGCAGCAAATGCAGCAGCAGCAGCAGCAGCAGTTGCAGCAACAGCCGCAGCAGCAGCAGCAGATACAGCTGCCCTCTATCCACCAAGAGCGTGAAGCTTCTATAGATTAGTACAGAATAATAATGTTCCGCTTATATACTACAGCAGCAGCAACAATTGCTGCTGCTGCTGCTCCTGCTGCTAAGTGATGAAGCAGGAGTCCTGCTGCTGCTGCTGTCGTCACCCGTGCTTGTATGGTGGCACAGCAGCAGCAGCAGCATTATTGATGTAGCTACTGCAGCTGCAGTTGCAGCTACTGCAGAAGCGACTGCTGCATCTACTGCTGCTGCTACTGTTGCAGCAGCAGCAGCAGCAGCAGCAGCAGCAGCAGCAGCAGCAGCAAATGTTGAACGATATGAGGTTGGGGATAGTATTATTGTTATGTTCTTTGCTGTTTGGCATTATGCCACGAGTTGTTTGTTATTTTATTCGTTATTCTTTATTTATTTATTTATTTATTTATTTATTTATTTATTTATTTATTATTCCTTTATTATTAATTAATTAATTAACTAATTAATTAATTAATATAAAGGCTCTATTTGTTAGCCTTTATTATCCCCTACAGATCTATTTATATATTTATTCTTATATTATATATACCTTCTGCTGTTGGCCTGCTGTTGCCGTTGCTGCTGCTGCTGCTGCTGCTGCTGCTGCTGCTGCTGCTGCTGCTAGTGTTGCTATAGGCATAGTGGAACAGCTACTACTGTTGCTAGGGGTGGGGCGTCTGCTGCTGCTGCTGCTACTGCCGTTAGTTGTATGCTGTTGCTTCTACTGCTACGTACTAGTGCTACTACTTATGCTGCTGCAGCAGCAGCAGCAGCATTTGCTGCTCTTCATATGTCAAATGTATGGTGAGCAGAAGACAGTCTGTTTCCCCTAAAAAATTCGTGTGTGCAGCAGTAGCTGTTGCTGCACCTGCTGCTGCTGCTGCACCTGCTGCTGCTGCTGCACCTGCTGCTGCTCAACTCGGAAACATTTGGGGACACTCCGGCAGCAGCACCAACAAGAGAAATGCTGCAGCAGCAACTGCAACCCCATAGGAAGCAAGAACTGCGGCTGCAGCAAGAGCAGCAGCACGAGCTGCACCAGCAGCAGCTCATCACTGCTGGGTACCCCCATTGCCTACAGATATTTGCAGTAAAGATCTCACGACTGCAGCACAAACAGCAGCAGCAGCAGCAGCAGCAGCAGAAGCGGCATTTCCAACCTTGTGTTCAATAGTAGCAGCAAATAACAGACACAAGAATAACAACAGCAGCAGCAACAGATGCAGCAGCAACAGCAGCAGCAGCAACGGCAGCAGCAGCAACAGCCGAAACTTACCTTGTCTACAGATGGGGCATTTGTTTGTTTGTAGTCTCATGATACTTGCACACTGCAGCAGCAGCAGCAGCAGCAACAGCAGCAAAGAAGGAAATATTACAAAATATTTAGGGTTTAGGGTTCAGTCTAGGAGGACAAAGAAAAAGAAGCAAACGTAGTGACAGCAGCAGCAGCAGCAGCAACAGCAGCAGCAGCAACAGCAGCAGCAGCAGCAGAAGTGTCTCCTTACTTCATTGCAGAGACACATATGCCTACAAGGCAAGACTGCTGTTGTTCTTTCTTCAGCAAGACAGATAACGCATTCTCTGCAGCAGCAGCAACAACAACAACAACAACAGCAGCAGCAGCACCAACTAATTACCCTACTGCTGGTCGTGGTTCTCCTGCTGCTGCTGCAGCATCTGTTAGTATGGTAGCAGCAGCCGCAGCAACAGCAGCAACGACAGCAGCAGCAGCAGCAGCAGCAACAGCAGCAGCAGCGGTAAATAATCGTACCTGCCCGAGAGGTTTTCGTCGTTTGAGCTGAGGCGCAAAGGACCTGTTGCTGCTGCTGGTGCTGCTGCTGCTGCTGCTGCATCTGTTGTACC